TCTCTCTGAGGAAGATATGGATCCTAGCTTCCTCCTTCCCAGGCTTGCAGTGCTGAGAAGGTGCTAGAGACCTCTAACAGTCATTTCCTCTTTGAGAGGAGATAATTAGTTATTGCCAGCCTCACTGACTAAATTGGATAATGCCGTTAAAGTGCTTGGTACTACCTTGGTCACACAAATGCTCCATAAATGTGAACTGTTAATCCTGACAGCACATTCTGTGAAAGGTACTCTTCTGCTCCCCACTCCTGGTCCTTTTCCACTCAGGCCAGTTATTCAGCAGCAACTCTTTCTCCTCCCTTACTCTCCAAGTCTAATCATAACATAAAGATCACAAGAATAACACTTGTGTGTTGAAAAGAAGAATGATGGTTTGCATGGAAATAAAAGTAGACAGTAAAAATCTTTCTTTCACTCAGTAGGTGTGAATGTCAACAATCGTTTACATTGTCCTGAGGGCCAGGGACACCCATAAGAGATGGTCGTAGCTAGACTCAGGCTAGCAGCCTCCATGGAAGAGAGGCATTTAGAGTTGAAAGGTCTTTAGGGACCAGGATGAACAGTGCCTGGAGATGAGCTAAAGACAAAAGGAGAAGGAAAATATACTTTGACTCCAGAACCCTTTGGAATCTCCATGACAGCCTTGTCCTCTTCTGTTAAGTCTGCTATTTCATAAGTACCAACACTCACATAAACAAAATGTTCTTTTTCTATGTTTAATGCTTTTGTGGTTTAATGACCAGAATGTAGAAGATCAATCTTCAATATATCATTGTCATCACAAAACCACCAAAAATTTTGTGCCATTTTATATGTTTCTGAAAGTTGCCACATAAATTATCTCATTAGATTCCATGATCCAGGCAAGGTGGCAGCTGAGTTTAAGGTGCTCATTATTATCCTTAAAATATTTGATTCCTAAAGAATAACCTTAGTTATTCATAGTATAGGACTGTATAATATGTTATTTAAGGGGAGCAACTCCAACACAGTACTCCCTGGGTTCAGATCCTAGTTCTTACACTAATAAGCTGTGTGGTTATAGGCAAGTTACATGACCTGTTTGTGTCTCAGTTATCTCAGATGTAAAATATGAGCACCTGATGCAGGTTAAGTAAGGTAAAACACATCAGGTGCTTAGCTATTTGCCTAGCATACAGGATAAGTGCTCCATTAAATGACAGCTTTATTATAAATATTACTTTTCAACAAGGTTCAGGGCACTGAGTGAAGGCCAAGAGCTAACTAACCACTGCTGACTGGGAACCATGTATCCTCATGTCCTAGACTGTCCTCCCTCCTGCCTGCCATGGACTGGGGCTGGGAGGAGTTTGTACTGTCCTGCTACAGTCCCTGGCTCAGCCTCTGGGCTCATGATCTGGCTCAGAGTGGTTGCTTAGATAGGTTATTTCCAATTTGGTGTCCCAGGAATGAAAAGTGAAGTCAGAGCTTTGAAGCCCAGTCTCTGATGACACAGATGCCTTCTGGAGTCTCCAGCACTATTAAGAGGTGAAACAGCAGAGGACAGGGTGACTTCCAATTTCCTGTTTTTTTTTTCTTTTTGAACAAACCACTCTGAATTTCTGGAGCTGGTATGATGCCAAGCATTTACCTTTATTTAATCACTCAATAGACTCCTCTGTGAAAACCGGGGTAATTAGGCCCAAAATATATCACCAGAGCCTTATTTTAACTAGCCAAAATAAAGACTAGATCCCAATTTCAACAAAATCACCACATTGTTTTCCTTCCAAGAAGTTCTGGCAGTGTTCAAGTTCCCTGGTTGATTCTCCCTATGGGATTGTTCGTCCCCAGCACTAGGGTGGTGGAAGGCAGGGGATAGCGCCTCTAGAGCAGTCAGTAACAGGATGCATCAGCCAGGGAGGGTTCCTGGATCATGCCCTCACCATGTACAAACAAGCCTGGACATGTTTTCTCAATCTGCTCCAAGACCTGTGAAACAGGACAGTATCTTCCTGGAAGGGAACTGAGATGACTAGAGACACATGCACTCCAGTGTCCCTGATTCACATCCTGCTTATTCCTACCAGCAGTGTAACTTTAGACATGATGCTTTCATGCTCTGCTACTCAATCTGTTCCCCTAAACAATGGGAGATAGCAATAACTGCCTACCTGTGTGTGAGGGCTCAAGATACAATCCATTACATAGTAAGCATTTTGAGTCACACTTTTTAAAAAAATATATTTTAACATCTCCAAAATTACAGTCTGTGTCACATTATAATCGGTAGCAAGATTTCTTTCTTATGGATACATAAAATCATGGTGCATCTTACATTTGATAAAATATGGCATGCAGCCTGCAGAAATCATTCCCCAGGAAAGGCAGGCTCTCCAAGACTGTTTTTTCCATTACCCTTCTGATTTTATACTACAGCTTTTTTAAAGGAACCAATAATAGTACAAGAGAATCTTAATGATATAAGAGCTTTTGGACTGGGCCAGAAAAACACCAATGGTTGCAATAAAAACATAATACTTGCAAGTATCTTGCATATATCACTGTTCTCCAATCTCATGCCATGACAGACAGCATAATCAATTCCCCAGTTCTTCCCACCGAGCCAACATGTAGGCTCTGCATCCTTCTCAACACAGTTCTACAGGCAGCTAGCCCCAATCAGCCAGGGCTGGCACATGAAACAAAATCTATTTTAGGTCTCCGATTCAGGAGATTGGGAGATAGAAAAAGAGAATAGGAATCATCAGCCAAGTCAGGAAACTCATATCTAAGAAGATTTCAAATATGGTATAGTTTATTGCACCAAAAAAAAAACAAGGTCTAGAGAGATTAAATTGGCATAAAGTCACCTGCCAATCATATGGAGAAAGAATGTAGATTTTTTTTCCTGTTCTCCCTGATAAGGGAGAATATTCTATGTAAATTCTCAACATCACTAATCATCAGGGAAATGCAAATTAAAACCACAATGAGATACTGCCTTACTCGTGCAAGAATGGCCATTACGAAAAAGTGAATAAACAATAGATGGGGGCGTGAATGTTGGGAAAAGGGAACATTTATACACTGCTGTTGGGAATGTAAATTAGTACAACCTCTTTGGAAAACAGTATAGGGATTCCTTCCAGAGCTACAAGTAGATCTACCATTCAGTCTAGCAATCTCACTATTGGGTCTCTACCCAAAGGAAAAGAAGTCGTTATGTGAAAAAGACACTTGCATATGTATGTTTACAGCAACACAAATCACAACTGTCAACATGTGGAACCAACCTATGTGCCCATCAGCTAATGAGTGCATCAAGAAAATGTGGGATATATGCACCATGGACTACTACTCAGTCATTAAAAGGAATGAAATAATGTCTTTTGCCACAACTTGGATGGAGCTGGAAGCCATTATTTTAAGTTAAGTAACACAGATGAAAAACCAAAAACCATATGTTCTCACTTATAAGTGGGAGCTAAGCCACTGTATGCAAGGCATGCAGAGTAACAGAATGGACTCTGGAAATTAAGAAAGGGCAGGGTGGAAGGGAGGCTAGGAATAAAAAAACTACATATTAAGTACAATACACACTACTCAGGTGATGGATTCATTAAAATCTCAGAATTCACCACTATATAATTTATCCATGTAACAAAAAACCACTTGTACCCCAAACATTGAAATAAAAGTGTGTGTGCGTGTATTTCTAAAACACCATTGCCCCCTTTCTCAGCACTGAAGCTAAATTCCTTAGGACTTAAGTAAGTAAGAAGTTACCTGACAAATTAGACTGTGGCAAAGAGAGTATGAAAGGGCACTAGTCATGTAAAAGTCATTTGCTTTTGTATTTGCAAAATTCCCTTTTGCTCACTTGTCACCAACAATTCATTGCTCAGGGGCGTGAACTATAGAAAATATCTAATTCCAAGTTTTACTCAGGAATGGTCATTGCAAAGCACAGAGACCAAGAAGCAATCCATCCTAGCCCCATGGTTACTGTGATTTTAATGGCTAAAACCTTTTATTGCAATGTTCCTATCCCTGAAAATAAGAAAAAAAATGTCATTAATCCCATATAAGAATGAGAGTTGCAACCAGCCAACCTATACCCATTTGGGGCCCTCTGGGGATTTCAAAAGTACTTGACATGTGTGGTGTTTACCACAAATATTGATTAATATTCCCAAGCAGTGGAAACTAACCAATAAAAATCACATCTGGAAAATTAAAAGTGACGGGTAAAATGGGGATCTCACCTCCTTGTCAAATTTCAATTCAAAATTAGATTGGGGCCTTTAGTGCTAAGACAGGGATTCTTGACCCTTGAGTAATTACTTTCCAACACCATTTTCTTTAATCTGGAGGAGATATTACTATTCCAGGAATCGCTGGAAAGGCTCTTTTTATGAAAATGAAGCTATATCTTAAGAAAACCTTGTTTGTTGCTCCCTTTTATTTCAGCTACATTTCTGCTCCTAGTGAGGTATGCTTGCCACAGGCCTCTGGTTCTCCCCTCTCAGCACTCTTAGCGTGGCAATTACACTAGCAAACTCCAGAGTCATTGAGACTAATGACACAGCTTGCAACTTACAACCTCTGCAAGGCTTCGGGGATGAGCCAGAAAGTCTGAACAGGCAATTCCTTACTCCCTGAAATGTGGATTCCCATATTTAGAAAACATTTGTTGAATAAGGAAAAGCAATCTGAGGGGAAAGCACATACAAGAATATGAAGGAAGGAAATGACAGCATTTTCAGGGAGTATTTCACTAATTCACTCATTTCATTTCATTAGTGCCTTCATTTGCTCAAGAAACAGGTACACACCACATGCCAGGCACCCTGCTGGGTGTTGAGGATAAAACAGTGAGTAAAACAGGGTGCCTGGCCTGGTGGGGGCAGTTCCACAAAATGTGGGTGGAGCCTACAAATAGAGAAGCACTTTACAATGCTGTAAGAACAATGAGCACAGTGATCTAAGCATGTACAGGGCCTTGGAGAACATGGGGTAAGGGATAGAGGCAGGGTAGCTTGTCCAGCCCCAAGTGGGGATGGAGTGGGGACAGGTGGGCTGAAAGCAGCAGGACTTGGTGCGTGACTGGAAGTGGCAGACAGGTGAGAGAGAGGGAGAGGCAAGGGTAGCTCGGGATCTAAGAGGGCAGTCCCATAAACTGAGGTCCTGAATTCAGGTAAAGTGTGGAGTGGCCTTCAGGGAGCTGGCAATGAGTTGTGTTTGGGGCACAGTGCGTTTGAGATGCTTGAGAGACATCACATCAGAAGAGGTCTGATTTTCTTCAGAGCACAGACCATGCCTAACTCATTTCTGAGTCTTTGTGCTGAGTATCTAAGAGGTTCTCATAAACTGCTGAAGGAATAAATAAATGAATACTAGGCATAAGAAGCACACGTGCAAATGCTTATCCTGTATTATATGATTTAATTTACACAGAAACTCTATGAGGAAGATCTATTATTACTCCATTTATTACATAAATAGCACAAGCTTTAAAGTCTTACAGACAGGAGCTGTGACAAGTTCATAGACAAAAATGACTCAAAGAAAAAAAAGAGGCAGAGTACATGAAAATGTGCTCAATATCATTCATCACTGGGGAAATGAAAATTAAAACCACAGTGACATACCATTAGAATTGTTATAATTCAAAGGATTGGCAATACTTAGAGTTTGTGGGTAAACAAAACTTCAAACATTGCTGGTGGTAATATGAAGTGGTACAGCCACACAGTGGGATGGGTCACCCACTGGGTTACTTAGGGGTGTATGTCCTTTGCTTATCTTTTAAGGCTGGACAGTAAGCCGAGGCCAAGGTGCCTAGCCAAGGAGCATGTGTCCCTGAGAACCAAACATCCCAGAGGATAACTAAGAATATACCAAGGAAAACAGCCCCATCACACACACACAGTAGGCAAAGCACCAGAAAATTAGCTTAAAAGCAGCTTAGGGCTGGGAGGCAGTGCTGATCTCTGAAGCTGTCCTGCCGCCATCCAAGAGTACCTCCTATGTAAGTCGCAATAAACTTATTTACTCATCAAACTGAACTAGTTTAAGTCATTCTTTAATCTCTTGGCTCCCTTTTAGTTTCAGGGAATGTTTTTTAAAATATGTAATTCCAGGTTTTTCTCATTATCGTCATGATGAAAAACAGGTTGGCAGTTTCTTCTAAAGTTAAACATGCACTTCCCATATGCCCCAGCAATTCCACTCCTAAATTTCTACCCAAGAGAAGTCAAAACCTGTTTCTGAATGTTCAAAGCAGTATTACTTGTAATAGTCAAAAGTTAAAAATAATCCAAGTATCTATCCACTAGTGACTGGATAATCCACTAATTTTTATACACACACACACACACACACACACATATATATATATAACATATAATATATATAATATATCCACTACTGACTGGATAATCCACAAGTTATATATATATAGTCAAAAGTTAAAAACAATCCAAGTATCTATCCACTAGTGACTGGATAATTCACTAGTGACTGTGGCATGCTCATATAATGTAACATTATTCACCAATAAGAAGAAATGAAGTACTGATATGTCCTAAAATATGGACAAACCTCAAAAACAGTATGCTAAGAAGACAGACACAAATGACCTCAAATTGCATAATTTCATTTATATAAAATTCCCCAGAAAAGGCAATCTATGGAGATGAAAAGTAGATTAGTGGTTGCTTAGGGTTGGGAAGAGGAGGAGAGAAAATGACTGCAAATGGAACTCTGGAGGGTAAAAGAAGTACTCTAAACTGAATTATGGTGATGGTTGCATAACTATAAATTTTCTAAAACTCATCAAAATTAATACTTTCAATGGTTAAATTTTAAAATGTATAAACTATATTTCAATAAAAATTTTTAAAAGGTGAATAGAGCTTGGTAATTTAGAAGAGGGGGTAGTTCCAGCTAGAGCAGCTTCATAAGGGCTCAGATTTGTGCTGGACCTGGAAAACTAGGTAGGATTTCAACATATTGAAAGGTACAAGAAGGAATTTCAGGCAAAGAAAGAAGAGGCTAAGCCTGAAAGTAAGAAAGTGCCAGCATGTTTGGGCAATATCCAGACATCCATTTTGGCTGGATATTTGGATGGAGAAAAGTTGATGAAAAGACTGAAAAATGTGGTTGTGACCAGATCAGATCACAGAAGCTGAAAATGATTGGGCTAATGCATTTATGACTTAATTTTGTAGGCAGCAGGGAGCTACCGAACATTCCAGAGAGGGCAGTGTCCTGGTAAAGACTGATGGGGCAACAGTGAGGAATGTGTGTTAGAAAAGCCAGCCACAAAAGCAGAGCATCAAATAAAAGCTCATAGAACTGGCAATACTGAGTGATCACTTGCCTGTGTTGATAAAGCAATAGGACAGAGAGCCTCACTCTACCAGATAGAAAGAAACATGATAATATGCAGCACTTATTTGGTGCTTCCTATGACCAAGGCCCTGCTTTAAAGAATCACTGTTCAATAGGAAAGGGAGTTAAGAGCCTGCTATGTACAGAATGAGCCAAATGGATTGATGATTTTTTTTTTTTTACTCCAAAGAGAAAGAATAAAGAATAGGGAGGTCATAAAATGCCTCATTTGAGATCAGGAGTTCGAGACCAGTGTGGTCTTGAACAGTGAAACCCCGCATCTACTAAAAATACAAATATTAACTGGGCATGCTGGTGCACACCTGTAGTCCCAGCTACTTGGGGAGCTGAAGCAGGACAATCACTTGAACCCAGGAGGCGAAGGTTGCAGTGAGCTGAGATCACGCCATTGCACTCCAGCCTGGGCGACAGAGCGAGACTCCGTCTCAAAAAACAAACAAAAAAAAGGTGATACTTCAAAGGTGGAAGGATGGTAAGTGACACAAATGACAAAGACCAGTTTATAGGACTCTTTAACCCAAAACACAAAGAGTACCTGGCACCACTGATGCTCTCCATGGACATTACCACTTCTTTAATATACATTACCACACATTAAGTAAACATGTGTAGGCATGAACATTCAGAGAGAACTGAATGGGTGAAAAGAAGATTGTAAACTAGGCTGTTCTGAGGGATCAACTCCTTCCCCAGCTACTGTGGGAATGATACTCGGTACCGTATGTTCTGCATCCCTGAAGCAGGATTATAGTACATTGTCATTCAACACCCCCAAGCCTGGCTCACACTGTACCAGTGTAAAGCAGGAATGTCAGGGTGGCTTTCTGAAGAGAATCCAGCTGTTTGAAAGTCACAAAGTATTTATAAATATTATTTTTTAAATGAACTGCCAATGCTTAAATATCAGAAAATTTCACATAAAACATGGAAATTTTCAGTTTCTCTTGAAACATTGGGAATTCTAGCACCTATATGGTGCAATCCCATGTGGTATTAATCAGTCAGGGCTGAGTAGCCCTCATCCTCTTATAAACATTTGAATCCCCGCCTGGTACACATCATGCATTTATTCATTCAGAAGTATTTTTTGAGTATCTGCTATGTGCCAAGTGCTGTTGTAAGACCTAGAGACACAGCAATGACAAAACAGAAAAATATGCTTACTTTCCTGGAGCTCATATTCTCAGGAGGATAGCCAGACAATAACCAAATAAGATAATATGTATTTCTGATTATAAGTAGTGAGAAAAATAAAGAAGGTAAGTATGATTTTAGAGGATGGAGAGGAGCTGAGAATTATAGACAGGGTGTTCAGGGAAGGGATGCCTCTATGATTAGGTGATATCTGATTCAAAGAAAGGGAAACAGCACATCCATCATGTTTTTTATGTGGGAGAAACATATAAGTGAATGGGCGTGGGGTAGGGGCATTTCAGCTCTGGCAGTGGTTTGGATTTTATTCTGAGTGAGATGGAAAACCATTGGCAGGTTTGAGCAGAGGAGTGACATGGTTGGGCATATTCATTTATGTTGGTGACTGGCCCCTGTAAGCATCTGAATTTTTGGTCCTTGGTTTAAAGCACTGTGGGCAGAAGTTAAAGGGTTCAAACTGGGTTCTGTGTCTAGAGAAGGAAAATGATCAAATAATGAGGCAGAAATTTCCTGATCTTCAGAACATGGTGTTTATGCAGACGAATAGCTCAAAATGTAGCAAGGAACTTGAATAACTGGCATCTATGGGCAGAGTTAACACACAATAAAGTCCCTTAGGAAACCAAGCTCACAGGACCCTGAGACTGGGTACTACTTGAATGTAGGCCAGAGGAAAAGGTTCCTAGTGGACATGCATCTGGGATGTTCCACCTTGTTCACTTATGAAAAGCTGCTCTCTCTTCTCTATCTTCAGCAGTGATAGTCCACCTTTGCTGGTGTACTCAACTTAGCACTGGTACACTCAACTAGACAAGTCCTAAGCCTTATTTCATTTCAACTACTTGAGTTAATTCTCACATCCTCCCAACTCAGATAGGAAAGCTCTGATCCTTGTACTCCAAAACAAAGCAATGATCAATGCTGGGAGTTCAATATGATCTGCCCTTCCAGAAAATCCATTTGTAGTTGCTGAAGAGTTTGCAAACATTTGACAAGAAGAAATAATCTACTCACGATCAGAACATGATCCCGGCCCATGGTGATGACTGTCCGGTTCACTGTTCGCAGCAGCTGGACCATGATCTCCTGGATGTGGTGATAGGTGAAGGCCTGTAACACAGTGAGAGACATCTGTGTGATAACCAGGACACTGTATCTGCACAATTGGCCAAAGGACACAGACAAGAGTGGTCAGACATGGTGATCTTCAACACCATCACCAACACCACCACTGCCATTATCATCATCATCATCATAATTGCCGTCGTCATCTTCATATCTCCATCACCATCACCACCTGCACTGGGCATAAGAAATTCCACTAGTCACCTTAAATGTAAGTTAAGATGCCTTAACCTAGGCTTTGGAATCAGGAACTTTGGAGCTAGAATACTAACTCTGACAAGAGTTAGTACTGCATTGGTTAAGTTATTATATGATTTGGATCTGTGTCCCTGGTAAAATCTCATGTCGAATCATAATCCCCAGTGTTGGAGGTGGGGCCTGGTAGAAGATGATTGGATCATGGGAGTGGATTCTCATGGTTTAACACCAACCCCCTCGATGCTATCATCATGAGATTTGGTTGTTGAAAAGCATGTGGCAACTTCCTCCCTCTTTCTCGTCCTCCAGCTCTGGCCACTTGAAGATGCCTGCTTCTGCTTTGCCTTCTACCATGAGTAAAAGTTTCCCAAGGCCTCCCCAGAAGCCCCACAGATGCCAGTTATCATGCTTCCTATATAGCCTGTGGAATCATGAGTGAAGTAAACCTTTCTTCTTTATAAATTATCCAGTCTCAGGTATTTCTTTATAACAGTGCAAGAACAGACCAATACAGTTATATTAACTTTTCTAATCCTTGGTTTCTTCATCTGTCTAATAGTCAGAATCTAAGCTAGAATAAGGAGGAAATTTAATGCAGGGAATTGTTTATACAGGTAATGGAAATCCCAACACAAGGTAACCTAGAGTCAGCCAAAGCAGGAAACCACTATCACCTCAAGGCTAGAGGGACAAATTGAGGAGGTAGTGTTTCTGGAGCCCAGGACTGGGGTTATATAATGGAAACTAGGGTTACATAATGGTAACCACATGGTACTTGTATACTAGAAGTCACATTATCCACCTTGGGTGGAAATTTACAGTGAGTCAGGTTGTAATAGGTATTGGGTTGTACCCACTTTAAATACAGGTCCTTAAACTTTCCACAGGATTTACTGATCCTTTTTGAGCTTTTACTGCAGTCGGCAAGGGTTTCAAGCATATTTCCATATACCCTGGATCATTTCGCCAGCATAGCATTTAGGCATAGAGTTGCATACCATGCATACACGAGGTTGGCCATGGCCAAGTGAAAAGGCCTTGGGATCTTAAGTTCAGAAGCTCTGGGTCTGAGGTTCAATGTTGTACTTGCCAGCTGTGCAACCTCACTTGTCACTTAACTTCTCTGAGCCTCGATTATTTCATCAACAAAAATGTAGAATGTTCTCTCAAGGTTGACGTGGACATAAAAATGACATGTGCAATTCTGGAAAAACACATGCCTGGGTCCTCTGCTGGAGGTGCTATAGTCTGAGACAGAGCCTGGCCATCAGCAATTTCTGGATTTTAGGTGTGTTATTCTGACAGTTAAGAACCATGATGCAACATGCTGTTTAGCTCTGGAGATGGGGGCTTGGCAACAGCCTTGTGTCTCCAGGACCTAGCCAGAGCCTGACATAAAGAAAGTGCTAAATCGATGGTGGCTGAAAACGTGGATGACCACCTGTGCTCATTTACAAGAACATCAGCAAGCTTTACTGCATTAAACTTAAGTGTGGTTTTGTCCTTTAATGTGAGAAATTGCAGGGAGTTGGTTATACAGTGAAAGGGAAGTAGATCTGCAGTTGGGGTAGGGCCAGAAAAAGAAAGGAAATGTGCTTATTAAAAAAATGTCCTCCCCTCCCAATGACTTTCAGTGACTTTTGGCATCCAAAGACGAATAACCCAGAGCTTTCTCTTTCCACCTCAGACTCACTTATTTGTCACTTTGGCCACTGCCAGACTCTCTAGCCCTGTGAAGCCACCAACAGAACCTCTGCCACTGGAACTTTTCTTAGAGTATTTTACAGAAACATGTTCCCTTGCTTCATCAAGTGCAGCCAGACCTCAGTCTCTGCTGGAGACTGGTCTCTCCCTACCAATCAGCCCTTTCTACTCCTGAGGCTCAAGGGCAGGGAAGACAAATCTCCCCATATTTCTGGTCCAAAGGTGAACCTCTCTTCTGATTTCCTTTTCCTTTATTTCTCCAAGCCATGGTTTAACACCATCGCCCGATTCATAATCTCCTATTTCTTGTATTACGTGAACATGATGTTCATGGTTATAACAACAACCACAGCTGTCAGTCTTTAGTGCTTCCTAAATGCCTGGCACTCTGCTAAACACTTTGCCTCCTCTCACATCAAGATGAGCAACATTACTCTCTCCATTGTTCAGATGAAGAAACTGAAGCCAGAGTGGTTAAGTAACTGGTCTAGAGTCCTCCAGTGAGGAAATAAGGGAGAAAGGATTCAATACAGCAGCCTGTCTCCAGAGTATTCTCCTTACCCAAACTTACCCAGGCAGACTGGAACACAATGATAGATTTCTCATGGCTACTTGGAGGTTTCATCCTCCTCCTTCTGTCTATGAAGATGGATAGACCCTGTCTTTGATTGGATCAAATTCGAACTTCTTCAGTGACTTTTGATCTTTTCTCTGCCTTTTATAAAATCTTCAATGCTATGTATTCCTACTCCCTTACCTTCTCTGCATTCCTTTGCAAATTCATCAAATTTATATAATGGTTTTCATTTTGATGCTATTTTTTTCCAGGATTACATCTCTTCCCTTGTGAATAGAGATATGAAAACCCCCTTTCTTGACCTCCTGCTCCTTGCTTCTTTTAAATAGACATTTCTTCTTAGTCCAAAGAGCAGCAATTAGACTGCTCAGGAAGTTTGGTATTTAAAAGTAGAAAACTGTCAAATTCAATTCATTTCACTGTGAAAGCTCCCAGTATTGGGAGGTTGTATAGAAGAATGTTTTGAGATTAGAGATACTTGAGTTTGAATCCCAATTCTGCTCATTTGAGCTGGGTGACCTTGGGCAAATTGCTTTTCCTCTCTGAGTTTCTGTTTCTTTGTTTATAATATGTGGCAAATAATAGTAACTTCAAGATTACTGGTTTGAGGAATAAATAAGGTAATGCAGGTAAAGCCCTCGATGCCAGGGGTTGGAATACAGCAAGCTCTCAGTAAGTGGTGGCTGCAACTCACATTCCCCTTGGTTTGCCCACACTCTGGCTGGGCTTGCAGATCCCCAGCACATAGCAGAAAGTGCTGTACAAGGCAATGTATAATCTAAACTCTGGGTGATATCGAAATGTCACCCAAAGAATGAATAGCGTATATGCAAATGGAAAACTTTCAAGATGATAAACCTGTGCTAAGCAGTAAAAGTGCAGCCACAAATCACCCACTGTTAATTGCTCCAGTGCTAGGCAAGTGGAGGGAGACTCTAGGAAAGTATCTTCCGGGCTCAAACTAAACGGTAGCTTGTAATTGAAATGACAAAATCAGTCTTCCCATTATGGCCTTGGCAAAGAAATTAATCCATCCAACCTAAACACACTGCGAATTGTAGTGATTTTTTTTTTTTTTTTAATAATTATAGGCTATGGTATCTGGAAGGGACTTTAAATGAAGTCTTATGTAGAGCCCACTACATAACAGCAGAAGGTGAGCTGGGAGTGGATGGGGACCAGGCAGGGTAGGGAGCTAAGGAAGCTAAGCACTATCTTCTTGGCTCACTCTTGGCCCTAGGCCAGTCCTAGGACTTTGCAGAATGCAATGCAAAACTACTGATCTCCTGCTGCATTTCTAGAATAACAGTGCACACCAAATATGAGAATATTTTAAGTAACAATGGACACAGCATTTCATAACGCTAAACCAAATTATATGAAAAATGCGGCATTTTTTCATTTTTCTTTCAACATTTCTCATGATACCAAGTAGAAAAATCTCCTTTTTGTGATTATATGTTTTTAATACCTCTTTAGTTCTCAGAAAACCCCTTTTCTAACAAAGAGGAAAGTCTGTGGAGGCAGACTTTGGAGGAAGGTCACGAGCAGGCAGCAAACAGCATCTACTAGAAGTTAATAACATTGTTTTGTTTTATTGTGTTTATTTTCTGAAGTTGGTTGTACTTATGGCAAGTGTGCAAGAAAAAGCTCCAAAACTTGGAAATGAAGCAAAGTTAGGATTGCATGACTTTTTTAATAGAACATTTGGAAAAAACCCACCGAAGATCCTTTTACCTTCTCAGGAATATAACCTTGTTTGATTAACCATCCACAACTGATTAGAAACTAGAAATATTTTAACCTTGCAGAGTAAGTAGTTAACTTGCAGAAAAATGATTAAATGTAATGTTTGCAGCTTTGCTAAAACTCAGTTTTATTGCTCTATAGAAAATTTACCTGTTTTATACCTAATGACAATTTTATACAAACATCTCTTCTCTCACAAAAAAGCAAGAAATGTGAATACTTTTAAACTAGGTTTTTGTTGTTCAGCTTGTTCCCTGGTTTATCAGTTAAATAAAACTTTGATGTGCTCAGTGTTTAATTACACTGGATGATATTTTTAATAATTTGAGAAATCTACTTTTACACAAATGATGCTACTTAGTTTTGGTATAAAACTTTATTTTTATCAAAGTTATAAATATATATAGTTCTAAAAATTCTCCAAGCTTCATTTAAAAACAAAACAGGCAGGGCACAGTAGCTCATGCCTTTAATCCCAGTACTTTGGGAGACCAAGGCAGGAAGATTGCTTGAGCCCAGGAGTTCAAGACCAGACTGGGCAACATGGTGAAATCCCATCTCTACTAAGCATATAAAAAATTAGCCTGGCATGGCGACACATAGTCCCAGCTACTAGGGAGGCTGAGGCAGGCTTGTACCCAGGAAGTTGAGGCTGCAGTGAGCTGTGATCATACCACTGCACTCCAGGCTGGGCGACGGGGAGTGAGACCCTGTCACAAAAAAGAGAAAAACATCAAACCCCAAAACAAACAAACAAACAAACCACAACAGTCTCTAATAATCCCTTTGCTGGCATAACGTTGGTACCCCTTTAAGCTGTTGTAATTGTTATTGTGGCATTTATGAACATGACACCAATAACATGCTTATGTTACTTCTCATTTAAGCATTTCGTTTCACCTTTTGGCATTATCTATTAACTGTCCACCATAAAAAGCAAACATTTTGGCTGGTCACAGTGACTCATGCCGGTAATCCCAGCA